TGTGTCTTGGTATCTACCTAGCACATAAGAAACCATTACTGTTAAAGAAGGTAAGATAATATTTATATAGTTACTGCTGTTTCCTATTTTGGTTGTGTGTTTTGGTATATTGTTTTTTATGTATGGGTTAAGGTCATAGGCCAACCTGAGAATCTAATATTATATGTGAGAAAATATTAATAATCTTTTCAATTAATTCTAAGCTTGTTATACTTTTATTTTATTTATTTTTTTGTTTTTTTTTACTTTTCCAGGTATTTCCAAAGATGCCATTCTCTACAGAGCTATGACATGTAGTTTAAATCTTTATATAAAACATTAACCATGCAAAAGCTCTTGCCTAAATGCTGCTTCTAGAAAAGTCCTTTCAGTGACTATATTGCATATATTGACTGTTCTGCCAGTAAATTAAGTATTTTTTCTCTTTTTATTTGTCAGCTTCAATTTTGAAATAAGTTCAGTCAGGACCACTTTCGTCTAAATATCTTATATTCCAAGCAGAATTTACATTTGGCGGTATGGCTCTGTTCTGGGACCTCCTTGTCCTTCCGCGTGCCTACGTGGAAAACCTTAAGGCAGGGAGAGCACACCTCCCTGCCCTTCCATGTGCCTACATGGAAAAGTTTAAGACAAGGAGAGCGGCAGCAGAGACCCCCCAGGGTACAGAACAGAGCAAGCATCAATGGCAATCAGAAAATGACATTGATTAATTAGAAACAACGTAAAAAGGAGGAGCTGGGGTGGAGGTGGGTGCAAAAGGCTTGTAGAGGAGCAGCAGAGATAGGCAGGCAGGCTAAAGCAGCTTAAATAAGGCGCCATGTAGATGTTGCCAATTGGATGCTTGAGGAAATCAGGTGAGCTGTCAGCTGACTGTGTATGGTATCCAATGGGAAGCTTAGAGGAATCAGCTGATGTATGTTTATGACTAGCTGTGATCGTATGATATAGCTATAACTGAAAGCTAAGCCTGACTTCGTGCCCTGCCTGAACTAACGCTATGCTCAATTTTTTTATACTTAATTTCCAAATGTGACAATGCTGTTTTTCATTGATTTGCCACAGAATTGTGTCTGGTATTGTATAATGTCTTTTAAAATAAACATATTAAAAGACTTGCTGATGATTTCATTTCCTTTTCTGGTGTGTTGTTCCCTGCATGTGAGTCACCATTCAAACCACCAAATTTAGGTCAAATGGAAATTATAGCAGCGCAAGGCATTTTGAGAAGAAATAAAAGCCAGGAGTAGGAAGAGGAGCATCCAAATTGATATGATGGTATAAAATGCTCATTCTGCATCAGCCTGACCTTGAATCAACAACAATGTTTGCCACAAATGGCCATTTGTGATCATGCTGAGATACCTGGAGGAAAGGAAAACACTACATTAAACTACATCTACTATAACTTTAATTTTTTTTTTATTGAACATTTGAGTTTTAGTTGGTTATTTATTTAGCAACAATATATAGTAGCTGTTTACAGTAGGACATTTTGATGTATTGTGAGCTCAATTTATGATCGCACAAAAATCTAGCTGGATTATTTATTTTCAAAGGACTATTAGCCCACAATGCCAGTTGAGGAGGTTTAGTATAGGACCAAACCTATGTGCAAGGTTTTATTTATTTTCATGCATGGGAAGGCCGATTTCCTTTTAATTAGAAAAAGAAGAAGATTGGCAATTCCAGGAGAGACAGACAGTTGAGCTGTCCGGCCCCTAATAAACCTCTAACATTTGTTCCAAGATTCCACACAACGGGTAAAAAAGATAAGAGAAAGTGGAAAGACATATTTAAAAGTAAAATAAAATGTCCCTGAGACGTTTCTGGTCAATGCTTTATCATCTCCTCGTGGAATAAGATTTTACACCAATATGACATTAAGCATTTGAAAAGTTAAGTCTGTCTAAATGATAAAATGTAGAGTGATGAGCATAAAATGTATAGTGGTGAGCATTAAATAAGAATGAGAGAGAATAGAACAAATTTTCAACTGCTCAGCTTTAAGTATGAGCTCCAAGCAATGCAGTAATCATTGTGTGACCACTGGGTGGAGCCACAGGTCCCCAAATGTAACCATGTTTAGGCAATTACAGTATGATTTTGAGGTACTTGTACTTTACTTTTGTAATTACATTTAATGCTACTTAATACAACAGTATGCATTTCAGAGAAAGCAACTGTGTATTTCCTTTACCCCACCACAGTTGTTGGACAACTATATTACTGTGGAGATGAAGGATGGCTTTTCAGTGCTGAGGCCAGTTTGCTGTCAAAGTTTTAACTTGTGATTTTAATTTCATTATTCTTGCTTTCTTTCATAGTTTGAGTCAGCTTTTTAGAGTTGAGCCTGGCCACATGACCTATTATTATTGCTGAATGGATTTCTTGGCATATTTTGATAATTTGAGAAACGCATTGAGAATAAAGTCATGGCTAAAATGACTAAAGATTCTTTAGTCTTCACAGTGTTGATTCTCAGATGCATTAGTCTACCACAGCATGACTTTATCAAGTGCTCTCTATTTCAACCTATCTTTGATCTTTTAGTCTTTGCTTGCAATTAAACGTATACACAGTGGTCCATCACTGTGGCTGTATCATAATAGACTGAGAACAAAAAAAAGAGACCCAGTGCATATAAAGTACACTGCTTAACACTAACACTAATCTTACAACAATAATATGATCAATTAAAATAATATTCTGTGCCATAATTTCTTAAATAATAAGTTATAACTGAATTTAGAAAGTCAATCAGGTGGTGTAACTGCCATTAAAAATGCATAAGAGATTTAGAAATTATAAATTAAACATAGCAGAAAATATCCACTTCCTGCATCAAATACTGCCACTGTACAACAAAAGATGAGCAGCTACGTGTTTCAGTAGTACGTCAGCTGAGTGCAAATAACCTCTTCCTCAATTCTCTCCACACAACAAAACAAAAAGCCACAAAAAACAACTACATGTCAGTGCATACTTCACAGTCCAGTCACTAAGCCAGGAAGACGTCCCATTGTAAAAGTGGTGAGTGAAATTAGTTTGAATCTGAGCCAGTTATGTGAGTTAGTGTGCTAAAAATGTATTACTCATTGCATGAGTTTTATCATTTCCAGGACTAAAACTGTATTCTAATTATGCATATAATCCACACATAATATCCATATTGTTCATGTTTGACCAATTGTTTTTATGAAGTGTATTTTTTAATTTTCATCATGTTTTACAGATAATTTGATTGTTGTGTTACAACAGAAACATGATTTCCATCTACATGATCATCACAGCCCTGGTGTCAGCAGCTCTGGTAAAAGGTACGTTTCAGAGTAACTTGATAGTTAACAGTATTGGTGGTGTTGACCAAACACTACTAAAGATTTATTTATGCAATAGTTTTGGTAATCTAAAGCAGCTACTATATCCCATTATATGGTTTCATAAGTCATTTGGTTATCAAAGATCAAATTAAAATTATGCTTTCACCTACAAAATGAATGTATAAAACTGATTCCAATTACAAGTAAGTACAAAACACAGTCAATTTATGACTTTAAATTGTTGCTTGTCAACAGCGAAGGACAGAATCATATTTATGATATAATCAAAAGATATTTCATGTTTTTTATTATGTAAGTTTGAATTGTCAGTTACATTTTCCTACTGAAATAAAATCCTAACTGGTGTGCATCAGTTTTTAAAAGTATTTTAAGCATTTTGTTGTTGTTCCTATCAGGGTCCATGGAATGCAATTTATCTGGACCTACTGGAACTCAGCAGTGTGTTGGAGCACTCGGGAAGCCATTGCTTTTTCACCTGCCTACAAATACAAATATATCAAAGAGAATTTTGACCAAGAATGAGAAATATAACATTTTAAACACAGTCAATGCGACAGTAATCACAAATGGGGAATATATGAATTTCTCAGTATTCTTCCCCAATGGAACATTCAAGCTGAACAGTGCACGGAGGACGGACTCTGGAGATTACCTGCTGCAAACATTTGGATCTGGTGGTAAATTGTTGGATAAAATCAAAATGCATCTAGAAATAAAAGGTAAGATAAAGGAAAAAAACCCATAAACATCTATATACCTTTTGAAATGAATGATTTTTTAAATGTTTTAATTATTATTTTTAACTTTGTAGGTACATAAATATAAATACAGATGGTCATACATTATTATACAAATGTTGTAAATATCATATTCAATATTGTATGTAATGTATATAAAATTTTAAAAAAGGGTAAAAGTCTGTGAACCTTGCTACTAACAAACTATACTGTTGGCTGTAGGCTACAGTGTTGTGAATACAACTTGTTTCAAGTAAATTAAACTGAACATATATTATGCTGTTAAAATTAAATTTAGGTTTTTCTAAGGTACAATGAGCTTTAACAGCCCTGCAGTAAATTATCCCTTTTTTGTTGGAACAGAGGTGTGGATTTAACCTTATTTTCATTTTGGAGGCTCCAGTTTGTAATGCCGTTGAACTGTATTGTATTGCATTATACTGAGAGTGTATCTGATACTGTACTGTAGGTAACATAAATCCTCTATGTTTTGACATGCTTTATCAATGTAATATACACGGCTCAAAGGTTTGGAATCATCTGCCTGTTTTAACATAGACAGTGGGTCAGAGGAATCTTTGTCTCTTTCTGTCATTTCAGTTGTCTGTCTGGTACTCTTTGTACAAAATATAACATTGTGCAAACCCTTCATACAAAATAACATCTATTTGTGAAGAGGACTTTCAAAAACCTAAAAGCATGACAGAGAGTTCAAAGATACAGATACGTCCTCCCCGCCTGTACTACACTACCAAATCAAGCTTTTCTGGCAGGTGATTCCAAACGTTTTGACTGTAATGTGGCTGTATTTTTTCTACTAAATGTGTCTACTACTATTTTTTTTAAATTATTATTATTATTATTATTATTATTACTATTATTGTATTATTGCTTAGTAGTTAACTATATGTTCATCTTCCAGCTCCAGTGTCAAAGCCTGATGTGTCTCAGATGTGTCTGTCACCAGAACAAATGAACATCAGCTGCTCCTCTGAGGGAGAGGAAATAGAGTTCATTTTGACCTTGGACGGTCATTTACTGATACAGACCAGAGACCACAGTCACTCCCAAAGCAGCTCAAAACTGGACACACTGCCACTGGCTGGGAGTACTGATAACCAACATAAACCCAGTGTTTCAATTGTTACCATCAGCTTACATGGTCAATTGACAGGAAACTTGATGTGTAATGTCCGAAACAATATCAGCAAAGAACAAACAGTCATCCACCTTACAAGCTGTAAAGGTAGTGTATTTAAATTAATTCCTAAATTTTATTTTTATTTATGAAAAGATGTTTTAAATTGAATTATTTAATAAACCGCATTAATAGCTTTAAGGAAAACGCTTTTAGATATATACAGCATGATGCATATGCAGTCTGTTAAATAGCGTGTACACAGCTTGATCTGTGGTTTCAGAAACTTCAGAAAGATCTTTGTAGCCCTGAAAATTTCAATATCTAATTTTGGTTGATATTTATATTTTCTAGGTTCCATTTCTCACTTCTCTCTTGGGACTGTGGCTGTGATAGCAAGTTTTGCCACTCTACTTGTCCATTTGGCTCTGTTTCTTGGTATCAAACATTTTAACAAGACAAGACCCATGACTGTTAATGAAGGTAAGAGAAAGATGTTCTGCTAATTCTAATATAGAAGATTAATATTTATGCAAATGTTTGCCAAATTAGTATGTACAACATGTAAAGTGTACATATTATTCCTTATTATAATTTTGCAAAGGATTGGCTACTGTGGTTTTAGACTAGATATCTGAGAAGCATTTTTCTACCTCTAAATACCTCTGAACTACATTCAGTTTAGTGCACCATGAAAATCAATACAGAAAGACCTAAATGGCTGGTGTCAAATAGTGTTGGGCAGTATGATTGTTATTTTGCATGACACAGGCATTACATAGGTTTATAGTGCCATATTCTACTGTCAGGAATACATAGAATATAAAACCTTTTTAATGTTATCATGTATATACTGAAGGCTTTGTAGTAGGTACTTGTATTAAGTATTTAGGTATTCAAACAGATATTTCTCAAATGTTCTACTGTAAGAAACAAATGAGTTACAGCATGTATTTCTGTTATGAAATAAGGCAGTATTTGAGAAATTAATATACAGAAAATTAAAACTGGTATGGTTCATATAAAACTGCGCCTATTTTGTTGTATGTTACCATTCTGTGGTAGAACTGTTGAAAGCTGACGGACTGACAACTCTCAAAACTTTAGCCAAACACCATTAAAGCCCTTTGACATTCAATGCAATAGATTATCTATGTGTCAGATACATTTAAAGTGTCTGTTCTGACTTCTTTCAGATAACGCTGCAGATGAAATAATCTACTCAGATGTAAGAGTGATGAACCACGCAAGGAAAACTGGACCCAACTCACATCAAAATGCAACTTAATTTGTTATTAAAGCATTATTCATGACTAAGTCTAAGCCCAACCCTTACCTTATCTAAAATTATAAAGTTATTTTTGATTGCCACAATCTGGCCCTGTGGGTTTTGCAGCACCTTAGTTGCACTCACTGCTGCAGCTGCTGCTACAACTGCTGACCGTGTGCTCAAATCAGCAAGCCAAACTACTATAACTTACTTTCATCTCATGCAGTATCTCACATCTATGCCCTTCACACCTCCCCTATTGTCCTCACACCAAAACCCACATACTGGTAAACTCTAACCCAGTTTCACTGAGCTGCTACAGCAGTTTGGGACACCAAAATAGTGATACACAGAACAATGATGAGTACAAAATGTGTAATTTGTAAATTAGAATTAAAGCATAATGTACTGTGATTCACAGGATTTAACTGTTAGTAACTAAGTGTTGATGGAGCAGTATTACAAAACAGAATTCTCCATAGTCAAGGAGAGACATGAAGGTTGACTGCACATTAGTTTTATAGTTGGAAGAAGACAGACATCCTTTAATTCTGTAAAAAAAAAAGTCTAGTTTGATATTTTAATTTTTGAGTCAAATGTTGAAGAGGATTCTTGAATGATAATCTCCTCAAGCCAAATTCTTAAGTATTTGTAGGACTCAGCAAGAGTCATGTGGGTGCCATTTAAAGGAAAGTTATAGTCAGTGGTGGAGGTGGAGAATACCACGTACTTGGTCTTCTCTGCATTTAGTCGAGGGCCGACTTAACAAGACGAGTCAGGCTGACAAACGGCATGAATGGGGTAGAACCAGCGCTCTTTAATGTTTTAGTATGTAGAATAAATTTTACATTTTTTAGTGTTGATTTGAATTATGTATTACAGCAGTACAAACATGACTTACATACACAAAACAACACAGCGCTGGCAACAACAGCTCTGTCCAAGTACACTTCAGTGAAGAAAATATTGTGTTAATAATGAAACACAAGATGTAATTAAAGCTGCAAGCAGGTGGCGGGACCCGCACCCACCCAACCGGGGCGCGGCGGCGGGCCGTCGTAACAGTGGGGACCACAACTGAAAATGTCACGTAAATCAGTTCAAAATCGCCAAGCATGCACCCCGTGCCAGAGGGTGGCGCATCACTATGTCTGAATGTGCATGTAGACATGTTCAAGGCGAGTGTTATCAAACACTTGAAGTTTCATTGGATTGGACCACGTACGCTGAAGTTATGAGGACGTGTTCAGGGCAAAACGTTCAAAATATATTAAGTTTATCGGGTGGACATTGCACACTGAAGTTATGAGTACTATTTTATGGCGAATCTGCGAAATGGACAAGTCGCCTGGCACGCGGTTTAATGTACAGTCCCAGCGAACTTTCTATCAGTTTGTATGACGAAAGAATTCAAAGTGGCCAACTTTGACCTCACGCCACGACAAGCCCAACGTACAGTCTCAAATTGCACAACTTTTAATCAGCACCATTTGGACGACTTACCAATCTGAAGCAGATCCGATAAATTCCTAGGAGGTTCGCAAATACAAGCAAAAAACACGAAAATGCCACGAATCACTATGGCCAACTTGGGCCGCCACGGACACGCCCTTTAATGTGCATGCACAAAAGCACAACTTTTAATTAGCACCATTTTTACGTACTGACCAATTTTGAAGCAGATCCGATAAATTCCCTAGGAGGCGCAAAACAATCGAAAAATCACCAAAAGCGCAGGAATCACTATGGCCAACTTAGGGCACGCCCGGACACGCCCTCACGTACAGCACAAATAGCACAACTTTTAATCAGGACCATTTTTAGTGTACTCACAAATTTTGAAGCATATCCGATATATTCCCTAGGAGGAGTTCGTTCAAATACAACGAAAAGTTCACCAAAGTGAAACTTTAAATCAAAAGGCCGACCCGTGGGGTTTGGGTATGGGTCCAAGAGGCTTTTGCGTCCCGAGATTCTAAACGGGCCTACCGAGTTGACGTACGGGAAACGTGGCGCCGGGCTGCTGTTTATTTATCCTGTGGGGCGCTACACACAGGACAAACACGATTTTGGTAGGAGCTCAGGCACTACCTACACGTGCCCTGTGAATTTCATATTCATAACTATTACGGTATATGTACAGTGATTTTTCATGCCAAAAGAGCGCCACCTAGTGGCGTATTTTTTGTCCTTTTTAAGGGAGCCTCAGGGAGCCATGGGGAAGCATCGTACCAAGTTTCATCTTAATCACACATACCGTTGTAGAGATATAAACGTCTTCATTTTAAAGAGCGCCACCTAGTGCTGATGGCCTGAAATTGTGCACGATGCTTAAGGAAGACACCTGTAACTATGCACCCAAGTTTGGTGTCAATCGGACATACCAATGTGGAGAAATGGTCCACTTCCTTTTTGATGAAAATTTCACAGGGAGTGCTAATTTTATAGCGTGCTTAATGTTTGAAATTTCAAAAATGTTCAAATTAGTTTTTTGCCAGGGCGGTCCCCAGGTGCTAGGTGAAAAATGTCTTGCGAATGGGACACAGCGTGTAAGAGGAACACGAAAAAGTAGTTTAAGGACATTTCGCGCTCTAACGAAAAAAATTATAGGCGGAAGTGGGCGGGGCCTATATGGAGAGATTCAGCTCCATTCACCGAACGCGTGGATATAAGTTTTTGAATGTGCGACAAAATATGCAAAAGTTATTAAGTAACCAAAAAGTGAAAATACTTTCCTAAATAGTAGCGCCACCTAGTGGCCGACCTGAAAAAACACATAGAATATCAAATTTTCACCAGGCCTGACAACTTTGCCAAATAAAATTGACTTTTCGTATATATTCAGGGGAAAACGCAATCAAAAGTGCTAAAAATAATAATAATAATAGGGAAGAAGAAACGACAAAAACAATAGGGACCTCCAGCGGTCGCCTCGAGGTCCCTAAATATGCAAATTTTGTCTCCCACTCTAAACTGAGTAGTATGATGTTGTGCATGCAATTCAAACTGCATTGTTTGTATGTTTTTTTTGTTATTTTTTTTACATTTAATATATTTATATAGGTATACTTATATTTACAATCATACAATCATCAACATCTTACAACAGTATTTAAAGTATTTTATGTTACATTTTGGATAAGTCCTATATTTAGATGTCATATATAATGTTTATACTTGTTTAATTTTCATGTGTATGTAAAATTCAGTCCATACTGGGACAAATATTTAGTGAAAATAATACTTTTTCTTTTGAATCTTAAGTTAAAATTTTAAAATTGCAGAATTTGTTTATGCAATCATGCATTAGCTTCCAAATGTAAAAACTCATTATTAATACTTTTATTTGAAGTGATCGGTTTTGGACTTGTGTGTGGCATTTTGGAATTGATTATAAAATAAATATACTGTGCAACGAAGAAGTTCCATGTCTGTGTTTTACCATACAAACTAACACACCACACATATAAAGATATAAAACAACAGCATTTTTAGGTTACCATACAACAAGAAAAAGGGACGTTGAGTGTGTTTTTCTTCACACCGGTTCATGATTAGTAATAGACCAGTAATTCAACATTAGAAAAGTGTAGCTTATTCATACAGAATATCTGGAATCCCTTGTAGTGACTGTTTTTGTAATTACTAAAGTTGGAGATCCAAGTAATGGAGTGATCATCATTGACCACACGATGGAGCCAGAGGCCATGAACAAACTTGTACATTTGAGTATGACTGGTAACTTTAAATCAACACAGCATTGTTTCCACAAATCACGGAAGACTTAAAAAGTATACAACGATAAAAATTGCATACCATATGGGCTATACTAATTGCAGTGTAAAGGGTACTGTACACTAATTGAGCATTAGGACTTTAGAGAAAGTTTTTCCAATTTCTGCTTTGTCAAATAACCTACATGGATGAACAGACTGATTTTTTTTTATATTTTGACCACAAGGTGGCAGTAACATGTTATAAAACACTACTGACGTTACAGGCCCTGTAACCCAGTATTGTTTAGCCTTCTTTTATGTTCTATGCTGAGAATCACATTTCAAAGCCACCTCAAAACATTTTATCAAACCATTTTTCAGAAAAGTAATAAATGTTTTACATCTATTTTCATGATTCTGTGTCTCTCTAACCAGCTGCCACTCCTCAAGTGTCTCTCTCCCTGTGTGAGTGAGGACAGGTGTGGTGGAGCAGAGCCACACCAGCTGCACCTCATCTATGATCACAAAACCTACAAAATAATGCCACCTTCATGCTGTCAGATCATAGCCTTTGCACTGTCTCCTCCCTTCAATCCCCTTTACCCTGTCTCTGTTCCCTATCCGTAGCCACTAATCTTGTCTCATCAGCCCTGCTTCCTCAGCCCCAGGTTCCCAGCTTCTAGACCAAGCCCCCAACCCCAGTTTCCTAAAAATCAGTGGTTCTCCGACGCTGTCTGGCAGACCAACAACGTCCTGGAGCGCCTGCCAGGCAAGCTGCTGCTATCGTTAGCCCAGTTTGTTCCTTCTGTAACAATAAAACAATTCTGTTCAGAGCTGCTGTAAATCGGTTCTGGTTCACAGCTCTTTAGCAGTATTCCCCACTGGGTCCCCGGCTCCTACCAGTCCAGCTAACAGTCTGGGTATAGTCAACTAATAGGACCACTAACAAGCTAGTGGCAGCAGCTAGTACAGTAACCATATGCAGCAGTGCTACAAGAGAAAAGGTCTATGTTGCATCCATTGACAGTATAATGGCCAGAGTTTCTGGGTCTTAAAACTTACCCTAAAGGCCACTGGCTGCAATTACACAATACCATGCACTCTAATGGAGAAATTACCTAATTTCTCACTTGATTTATTAGCTCTGTAAACAGCTTCCGAGTGAAAATATTGTCTCAATCGCTAGTTTCAAGTCTTCCTCCATAAATTATCATTATATTATAATCGAGGCTCAACTAAGACTCAGCGACTCACGATTGAGTTATTACACAGCACAGACCCAAACAGTCCCTCCAAGGATGGGTCAGCTCTCAGACACAGACAAAGGAAAATCAGGTAAATGTTGCACATTAATCCAACCTATGCAAGGATCTGCATTTCCACCTTGCCACACGCCCACATTCACAGAACCAGGAACACTACCACCTCCAGCATGCTGCTTCTTAGCCCTGAGCATCGGGCAGTCTGCCTTCCAGTGGCCTGCCTCATGGCAGTAATTGCCCACACTATCCCTTTTTCAGGTGCTCCACGGGACCCTTTACCTGAAAAGACACCAAGTCGACCAGGCAACCTACCACCACCATCCTTTCCTACCACAGGCTCCCTGCAAATGCTCACTCGGTCGATGTTTGTGAATGAGTACATACTCATCAGCCAATGCTGCAGCCTCAGCAACAGTTGTAACCATATGTTCATTAATGTATGTGGCAACCTGACTGAGCAGAGAATTTTTAAACTGCTTTAAGAGGACCAAGTTACACAAACTGTCAAAGTTGTCAACATCAGAAGCCACACACTAATGATTGAAGTGATTAGTCAGCTCCCTTGAAAACTCCATATGAGACTGACTAACCCTTTTTTTCCCCACATCCTAAATCGCTGACGATATGCTTCTGGAACTAACTCATACGCCTTCAGTACAGCAGCCTTGACTGATTGATAAGTTAGGTTACTGTTACTTAATGGGGCATAGGCCTCCTGAAACACACTGCAATAACAGAACCTGCTTAGAGTCTGACCAAGTCCTTGCTTCTGTAATCTGCTCAAACAGAGAGAAAAACGCATCTGGATCACAATCATTACATTTAGGCAAGAGACGCAAATTACCAACAACATCTGGAGACCCTGACCGCAAAGATGAACTTCCTTCCTGTCGCAACATATCCCCAAAACTAATGTGGCAGTCACCCTATACCTAAACTGCCTATCCAAAAACTAAGCTACCTCATTGAACCCTAGTCTTCATGAAGATTAGC